GACAACAATGTTAATAGGAAAAGTTTATTTTTATTGTAATACGAAAGTAGTTAATTTACACATTAAGAAAATGGTCCATTTGTGCGATTACTTCTCCCGCGTAATCTGCGGCAACCACATAGTGAGTGCAGGACAACTACATTGTTAGCATTAAATGACTTCCTCACTTTTTGAAATTCTCCTAATGAATTCTCAAATTCCTCCCAGCTAAAGAAACGCCTTCCCAGCATTACTTCATCGAAAATTCCACTGACGTCTGCAGTGCTTTCACTTGCATTGCCTACCTGCAATAAACTAAAAAGGCTTTGTCAATAAGCATCCATCTGTCTCGCAACTGTTTAAATATAATTCCGTGGAAAAAGCAATATTGAAATACATCAGTGAGCAATATCCATCAATAAAATGCTACACGTATAACCTAAAATAGAGAAAAGTCCAAGAACTCACGGGTTGCTAACATCGCCAGCAGCTGACAGGCCAACAAACCGAGTGTATGCTAAACCAAGCCTTGTGCATGCACAAAATAAGTGAAATAAAACGTTAGAATACTCAAATTTTACATTTACATTCATCAAACATGCTTGCAAGCAACGTATCCTGCAACCACACAAACCTGCACACGATATCACCTACCTAGGACAAATTAAATATCAAACCAGCTGCCACTGTTCCAGCCAATCAAAGCCGAGAAAACCCTTAAGCGCGGAAGATTTAACACGTTCTAACGTATATCATCACCCGACTGAGTAACATGTAGACCGCTATTTGCAAGCCATTTTGAATCATGGATACGGCGTGCTCTAATAGTGACAGTGAATGTTTCAAGGGTGTCGAGTTATTAATAGCCAAAACCTTCACTGATAGTATGGTATATATAGGTAAGTGGCATCAAGTCTTGTTCAACTTCAGTCTTACTGTAGACCTGTGCAACTTCCACTACAAGGCAAATAGAAGAGAACAGGTTAGCGGCAAAGTACCAGAGAGGAGAGAAAAGTATGTGGACACGAATGGAATCTTAATGTTTGTATATATATATTTTCATGGTACATTGCCATCCAGCAAATCGATACATTTATTTATACTGAGTCTTCTTATGCATCTAAGCGACTAGTCTATTTATCGTTTTACTCATTCCTCAGGTACTGTAGCAAACTAAAAATTGATTCGTTCTAGAAATCAATAGCTCGTTAACGTAATCAGTAAAGTGAAACGGTCTCCTCAGACAGCGTTTGAAACTTATGATCAAGGCTCAAGTTCTGACTTCTATGAACAGGCTGTTCCCTAATTTGGAATATATGACGAGTCGTCTAGGGAGGCGCACTCACTGCATCCATCCTACACACATTGGACAATGGGTATCAACGTTCTCGTAGTGAAGGTGACTGAAGTCTCAGTAAGTTATTAATATCATATATAACTTCAGTCACTATAGGAAACCAAATCGCAACTAAAGCTCAAATTTTTGTTCAGGTTTGAATGCTACTCTTCATGTAGGAAAATATCCCATATATACCACTGTTTGATTTTCCTTTCTGAAACTTAATCAAAGTGAGCGAGCCAGATACTATTATATGTTGGCAATTATGATTGTCATCATGACGGTTCATATTTCAAGTGTATCCTGACGATGTGACTGTGGACCGTGATAATGCTGAAACTTAATGACACTTACAGGCAGTGAGTTGTGTCCCTTAGGCTAGTCGAAGCAATAAGAATAGCTAGGTGAAGTTGAGCTTCTAACTGTCGAAATTGAAAGCTAATTAGTAATTAAGTTCCCCTCCCTGTATTTACATGGCAACATGCACTGAACAATATGCACGCATTCGGTAGTCACTAACTTCTGGATCCCAGTTAGATGTTCTCTGCTATACCGAAACCAAGCCATCAGCATCACGAGCTCTCCATAACATTTAAATAGTACGGTATAATGGGGTATTGCTTTTTGAGTTCAACTTTAGTGTAAACAAAGCCTGACAAACAATGATTCTATTCAATCAAAACTACATGAAATACTGGAATTTGAGACGGGAATTATGTTGCTACCTAAAACACTCCAATTCTCATGGTGTTTAGATGATAATACATCTTAGTTAATCAAAGACATTTTAACCGTGCAGTGCCCTCATTATTTCATATCTCATGCAACTGGTCATGAAGTCAGACTGACTGTGACTGCGCACAAGCCGCATATCATCTTATGCTGCTTACCAGTTTAGTTATGCCACTAAAAAGTGCGAGGTATTGAATACTATATCTTACCTTTAACGCCGCGTTATGGGATAGCTATTCATCCATTCGTTTAAAACTGTCCATTTTTATTAATAATAAATGCTGTCTTCCACCACTTTCACTTTCCGATTTGCTTTTTTTCAGATCTCCAAAATGTGGCTAATACTTCAAGCTCTTCATGGCCTTCCTACACCTAGATACTAGTTTCACTGAACTGTCAATTTTTCAAATTTTCCATCAGCAATAAGTGTTAGGAATGAAGGGAGTTCGTCAATCAATTTGCTTGTCAGGCTTTGCCTCCACATTGATTTGTTTATTCTTCTTTTCTGATGGAGAAGCAAGCAGGTAAATATTGGACAGTTGGCTCTTTAAAGGGAATATCTCATGGTGGAAGGTTAGTGACTGGCTGTTGCATTAAATTGAACACAAAGCAAGTAGCTACATAATATTCATGAACCTCATTTCTCGGTGAGGCGAAAAGCGAAGAACGTAATTAAACGGCTCTCAGCATGCGCTGAGATGTCAAAGTAGTGGACAAGGATTCATGGGAATCTTCACAACAACCAGATGCTTAAGTTCAAAAATAAATAACTCAACCAAGCAACTTGATCGAAAACTGCCAATTAACTTAGCATCCTAATGGATACAAGAACTCTTTTCAGCTTTTCCCCTCGATGAGCTTGAAAGAAGCAGAAACACCGAATAGAGAAGGATATCGCGATATCGTTATATTTCGCTGGTTTTGTTAAATGCGTATAACCCACAGCCGCTGGTCCTGCTTCTGGAACCACTGTAGTAATGACGCCTCCTACGCCTTTCAGCAATTAGTAGCTCGCATTATGTTTCAACAAGCGATCACAGAAGGTTCTTTCTGTTCATCCGACGTATGTCGGCACGAGCACTAATGGGCAGTATACACACGTCCCAACACATAATGCAAACTGTTTGGTTCACTGCGGGAATTCGGTGACTTCAGGCAAAAACTAAACAATTTTAGGTGTGAGAGAGTGTGAGATTGGCACTCCCAGATTTTTTCTACTATCTTATGCTCACTGTCGCCTCACTGCAAGTGAAGTTTGTTAGCCGGCACACTGACGGCCAAAAGTGGACACCTGCATTAAGACCCAGTACTAATGTTGAGCAGACGATCTGTAATTTTCGACATGACAGATGAAATATAATCACCCAATTATCAACTTAAATTTCAATGTTTAAAGCTGTTTACCACCCAATCACATAACACGTCCGATTCCAAAACGTTCAAGACATTTAGTAAGATTTCGACTCAAGGTATGGGAGAGACTTAGGGTTAAAAGATTTACACATAATCTTGTGATCATAAATTAGTAATTAAAAAACTATCTGAACAGATACACTGTAACGTATACGAATGATGATTATCAGATGACAGGAAAGGCTTCAGATGCATTCAGAAGCGAAAACGAAGGCATCAGATGAAATTATGGACGTCGATGAGACTAAACCGGTAGATAATTCTCCAGAATTACTGGCCACAACTGGCCACCGAACATTGGATGGTGGCCATCACTGTTTAAGTCGATTTGTTTAGTTAGAGGCTGGCGGTCAAGCATCTATGCCATTTAACACACCGTCGTGTTACCTTCGTTCATTAGTGAACGATCCATCCAGTCATCCCCGCACTACGATTGGGTCCCAAAATATATTTCATATTTTGAGGATTATTTTAGTGTCTTGCTTTGCCTTAGGTCTACACGGAATGAACACTACAGAGGTTGTGGGTTGTAGATCTTGCGTTAGTATGCATCCTACTGTACGTGAAAGTCAACACTCTCTGACTCTAAAAGTTCATTATCAAGCATGAAATATGTATTTGAGGACTTTCTGGGTGGCTTGATAATGTAGAGTTGGTTACGAACAAAGCAGTCACTAGAATGTTCTTGGGGCTTAAAATGGTGAATCACACCAAAAAATTAATGTTTCGGCTGTTTGTTTAGGTTCCAGTGGTTGTTCTGAGGCTAATGGTAGCACTCACATTCATTTCAGTACAGCTGGAACGGAGGCGTACCAAGTTAGTCAAAAAACCTCGTCGTTCTCAGGTTGTTCAATGTGAACCCATCCAAAAGAACGGATTCTACAGATGAAAGTGAATTGAATCCAGCAGAATAAAGTGACTCTAAAAGAGTAGACTTGAATGCTCAACCTGAAATCGACGCTTCAAATATCTCATATTAAGGGACCGTCAATCAAGTTCAGGCTAAACAACCAAAATGTCCGCATCTCACTGCAAAGTGATTAAAAAGTAAATTGGTTTTCATCAGGGATTGAACTAGATCACAGACATCTACAAAAGACTCGGCTGCTAAGACAGAGCCCACTGGTCAAAGTGGATTCATTTCATCACTGCCCACATTTAGAGGTCTTAATGCAGAAGATCGTCTTATGGATTGGGGTTTTTATACTAAAACCGAAGGGGGTAGGAATGATTTATTCTCCATAAAGGGTGCTTATGTGTGTTGGAAGAAATGACTAACCAGTTGCCACGGAAGTTGAAGAATATAGTGGAAGTAAAATGCTGGGGGGGATCGCTAGTAGTATGTCTGGAAAGTTAAACGTACCCTGATGTCAACTTTAGTGTAATTCGCAAACATGAATATTCTGTTGTCCTCATAAAATCTATAGCTCTGAATATGTTCTATGCATAGATAATCTGTCGAAGGAAGACTGTTGGTTCTAAAAAATGAAGAAACAGAAATAAATGAAGATTGCATTTTACATTTATTTATTTAAAGCACGGAAATGTTGCCTAACCTTGACAGTTGCGTACGATTTTAACCACATTTTGATGTGTGCAGCTTGTAGTTCGAATGGTTGTTTGTATAACTTAGCTGGACCATGCATATATGATCCCACGTTTTTAAAGGTTTGCCAAATTTATAGAAATTACGTTTGCAGTTATCTCAATGCAACATATCTCTTACGCATGCTCTTAGACTGGCATTTATTAAGGTAACAAGAAGTTACTAAATAATTTCTTACTGGTTCATGGGACTATGAACCAGTGAATGTTTAGGTAGAAAATGAATACCCTGGGTTTAGTGAACAGTTCATATTGCGCTTATTAGAGCGTCTTGGCGTCGATATTGCAGTTGATATGCCGGAAACATATTTGAGGATTGCTAGTTTACCCACTCACTGTCAGTTCATCTTCCTGTAATTTTCTAAGATCTACAGATCTTCAAAAACAGAATGCAGCTCTTGACGAAATAGAAGCTTCGGCGAATCTTTTAAGGTTACATTTGAGTAAGATACCGGATGAAATTTCTAGTAGTGATTGTTTTACCTCCTTAATAAGGTAAGATATACTCCTTAATTATTTTCAGAGAGATTGCAAAGACTACGGAACACTTTTTGGAATCGTTGTCTTCTCAGTGTAACCACCAACACTTAAGACTTAAAACATTGATTCACTTGAAGTTTGTGTTCATTCAGTCGTGTAAGGAGTTTACTAAGACACTAAAAACATTTTCTCATGACCAAAAGTAAGTATGTGCAACATATCAGCATCAGTTATTAAAATTATCACTTTGGTAGAGTTAATATATTTTCATATTACTCACAATGCATTTATTTTCTAGTGATTTCTCTGTTAAAATCAACCTCCTTTTTAAATCAAAAGTTTGTAAAAATCTGCTTTGATTTCAATTTCGGCACCAAACTTAGTATAAGTTCTTCAAAGATACTCGTACATCTCAAGCATATGCATTCATTACTGAGTCAACACAGATGTGTATGGAATCTATTTGTCAAAGATGTCGTTGTTCAAAGGGAATAAATGATATATAGGTAGAATAGGTTTTCAGCATTTAATCACGTGTGTGCGTCGGTGGCACAGCGTTAGAATGCTCGCCACCCGTCGGGTGGTTCGGGGTTTGACCTCCAGCCGACGTACTCCTTTACCTCGCTAAGCCAGTAGTAAGACTGGTGAAGAGGGAAGGTTGGGCATGAAGCTAGCAACCTCATCCTGCTACAAAAAACTTCAATCCTGTAGATTGAAGTCCTATTTTCCACTGAGAACATAAAGGAAAAAAGATTTAATTACATGCAGTTGGTTGTAACTGGTTTACAATTTATTTATGCGAATAACCCAGGAGCAGGATTAACTTTTTGAGTTATCATCATAAGAAAATGGAAATTCTACCCATGGACTGGTTGATCTTCAAAATACAACTTAGCACAGAAGTGCAGCAGTTCAATTTGCCACACTCTATGTAGTACATAAAGGTAGACTAAAGAAAGAGAAAAGAGATTTTTTGAGAACTATGATGAGCCGAAATGTGCCTTTGAGAAAAATTCTGAGCCGTATCTTTAATAGTCTTCAACCATTGATTCTTAGCGTCCAGATGACGCCAACTAGGCAGTTTACACTTCCCTACGTGACTCAAACCAGATGTCATTGACTTTTCGGCTTGATACTAGGTTTTGTTATAACCACTTTTAACTCTTCTCCAACGTAACCCTATGTCAGATAACGGTGTTCGTGGAAGATGGCGACATCTCGTCATGCTCAACACCTGTCCTAGCTACCCTCATCGATGTAACTTCACTATTTCATCGACTGACTTGTCCTCCTTATCTAATACTCTACTCCTAGCCTCATATCACTCACCTCGATTATACCACTTAATACATGAGATAGAACACAGTCAACTAGAGTCAGAGACAGTCGGTCCTTTTATATCTTCCGCTCTCAATGTCCACGTGTTGCAGCCGTGATGGAGGACAAAGTGAACTTCTGCTCAGTTCATATCCTTTGATAGATAGCCAGATATTACGTCTACACCCCAAAATAATACAGGTTGGCAAACTCCACACGAGACTTTTGTAACCGTGCTGAGATTTCATCACCAATCATTCCATTGGCCTCGATTCAACTTCTCAAATAAGTGAAGTTGTCAACGTACTCTACCATTTCACCCCCTATCTGTAAGTTGGGAATCGATGTGGTTCAAGTCTGCAGCATCGTCTTACATTTGACAGGAGTGAATCGCATACTAAACGTTTAAAGATTTCTGCTTCATGTTCTGAGAAGACTGAATTTTATCAGAGTCTTCACCTTGGAAGATACTGTTATCCGCTATCTGTGGTGTTTGTAAGGATTCAGTTCTAAAGTATGTAAACACGCATTTTGACAGTAATTGGTCGAAGATATCATTATGGTGTTTTAACATATTAATAGTGGGAGTCAAGTACTGTTAACTTGTGTTATGTTACAATTTATTGTATGAGAAAGGTGTCATTTTAAAGTAGCTGCTAATATTCAGTATGTGATGCGGCAATATAACTTAAGATTGCGGGATTTTCCTGGTAGGATAAGTGTGTGTTCATTTATGTAATCGCTGGATCAATAAACGTTTTGTTTCAAGTATAGTTGCGCATCAACCTTCCATTTTTGGGACTTATGAAATTTATAGTCGTTTTAAATATTCATCTTATCCAATATGTTTCACGATATGGCACTATATCACAAAACTAGAATGAGCCTGTAATTCGATCGATTACCTAAGTTTCGATATGATAGAGAAGCTTTTTAGCTCAGATGGATGATTTTGGTGTAGTTGTGTTCTCTAAGCTGGATAGTAACATCTTACATAGTAGGGCAAAGAGAGCTTCTCAAATAAACCATCCAGCTCAGAGAACACAACTACATCAAAATTACTTGAGTTTAAATAAATGTACTGGCTCTATTTATAATAGCTTCATAGAGACGCGCCTGACTGAATTGGTCTTTAGACTTCTATGAATTGAGTCCTGGTTTTTAATCCCACTCCACCTATGTTATCCTAGATAGCTGGGCAGTGTTGTTATCCTCCACAAAATAAATGTGGCTTGCAGCCTGGTACATGGATGATTTGAGCTTGAGCTCCATTGCTTTGTTTTCGGAGGATAAGATATTATAATCATCTTGGCTATAAAACAAAATATGCACTTATTTTTTAACTGAAGTAGCATAAAATTTAAATGGTACCCGTGTATCATTCAAAGCTCAGTAGATTACTGTTATTAATGTATGAAAAATCACTAATTTGGTACATTATATGCATCAAGGGATGTACTACACAAAATCTCATAGTTCTTGTGGGGGCTGGGATACTGCTGGGGCTCTCGAATTGAAGTAGGGAGTTCCTATTAAGAGACCGCTCTCCGAATCCTTGACTTAAAATTTGATCCACAAGACGGGTGAGTGTTAGGAGCTACTTTCCTATGATTGATGGTGACCAAAACAGCTTATGCTTACCGATATGTTTGGAATCATGGTTTTTCACCTCCCCTAGGTAAAGCTGCACTTCCACCAGCCCGGTTGTCCGTGCCAGAGTTCATATTTGCCTTTTCACTTCACACACCAGTGTGTGAAGACACTGAATGGGATCTGCTTGGCAGAGACTGTGAACGCGTAGCTACATGAGAGCATTTCGGGAGGAAGACCGAAGTCTACCCACCCTCAGCCGTACCAGATCGTTTATGAGGGTAGGTTAAATAGATGGGAAAGCTATATGTCATATTTTTCCCTTTGAAAAGACATGCTGAACAAAAAGATTATGAAATTTATGCATCATTTATCTACAGTGATGTGTAATTTTGTCAGATCTTGAATCCTTATTACGATTGATACGAGAAGGTATGGTGAACTATCCAAAACAGAGAGGACTGCATTGACAAAACCATAGGTTTGATTTCATTTAAGTAAGAAAGCATTGGTCCTGTTTTAGTGCTGACGAAATCTCAGCGCAGATACAGAAGGATCGTTTGTCATATTCCAACTGACGCTATCTCTGGCTTAGTAGATGTGATATCTAGCTGGCTGTAGACCAAAGGGCATGTGTACTTCTCATCATTTCGCTCTGTTCTCCTTTATGGCTGCGAGACATGGCCATTGAAAGTGGAATATACGAAAAGGCTAGCACATATCTTTGATCATAGGTGCTTATTTTTCATCTCTGGCGTTAAGTGGCACAATAAGGTGAGCAATATTGATGTTAGACATCGGTCGAGTGCTGGGTACGGAGGAGGAAATCAATCGTTGGGTTTGTGAAGTTTCACCGATTGAGATGGTTAGGACATGTGTTAGGCATGCATTGCTAGCCATCGCCTTCCTCGACAGACGGGCAATGTTAGCTGACATAGGATTAGTTTGGAAAGGAGCTAGTGGTGGTCAAACCAATACAGGACTTCATCAGTCAATGAAATCCACAACAGTTAGTTTAAGCCAGCCAGCCACGTAGGGAGGTGTAGACTGATTGGCTGGTTAGGTTTCTCGGGACCGTAAAAACCAATGAAGGCTTGAGAAAATTGGTGATATGACTCAGAATCCTTCATAATTGCTGGCACAGATACATTTACTCCTTGTGACTTATAAGATCCAATAAAATTCTGTTGTTCTTCCATATTACTGTTCTTTCTCCTTGACTCACACTTCTGTTTATCATGTCTTTTGAATCTCTTTTTACTCTCTTCTCTTGCTTTGTGTGCTACAAGGAGGGAGTGTGGCAACTCAAAATGATGCACGTGTGTGCAAAGTTCTACATTCAAACCAGTCAGTCAGTTATTTAGAGTAGCCCTTCACATAAAACATTAACTGGTGAAAATGCAGTTAACACTTCCAGAAATCAATATTACGAGTAGTGAGTATATGGAATATAAATGAACCATGAAAGTGATCACAGGTTCTCGCCTGAGGTAGAAAATAATTACTGACAAAGCTCAAGTATGGCGGTATAATCTGTTGTTTGACTTCTTCTTGATAATTGATAAGAAACAGAATTATTTGCATCTGTGCTGTAAAAATGATAGTCATATGGACAACGTAACAGACGTTTTTAAACAGTTTCCTTGCCATTTTAAGTAGTATTATAGTAATAAACCTGTAATACAGTTAGCATAAAGTTTTTAATGGGACCTAATTGTTTTAGGGCAATATTCACAAATTTTATCTTATTCATTGTCTATATAAAGTCTAATTAAACTATGATCTTTTTTTAGTCAAATTCCAGTTCTTATCCAAGCCAATCATCTAATTCTATGCACAAACACTATTCTCGATGCCATATACTCCTCTTGTGATAAATGACGGTGTGTTGGCCAACCCGATTTTGGATCCATTGAAAATTCCGCATATTTCAGCACTTCTGATTGGTTTCCGCAAATTTCCGCTTCACTGCTTGAAGACGACAATCGAATAAAAGAAAACGGGTTGGTCAAAAATTCATTCTGTATGCAGACAAAAAGTGCATTTCGTGTATTTCTACGCCCTTCAAAAATCACCATTCAAATTGCATTGATTACTATTGCTATTCTTTACTATTTATCCTGTGTAGTTACTTCTAATGACAATAAGCGGTTGTATGATTATATCCCGACCTTATTTTCTTCTAATGATGAAAAATGGAGCTTAAACTTACAAGGTGTATACAGACTCCTTCGGCCTATTTCCGCGCACATACAGAGTGCATTTACAAAGTGAGATACTATATGATATATTGATTATCTTTAGATTTTCGTTTTCCATGCTTTATTTTATTTTCTTTTAAAGTGGAAAAAAGTATGTTTTGCTCAATTTTCGTTTATTGTATTCTATTTTTTTTTAAAATTTGCTGCCATTTGAACCCAATCATTTGATTATTTCATTTGTTGGAATAATTAATGCCTTACTATATATTTCTGATTACTATCAGTTTGTGTAGATTAATATTTGTTCCAATGAGCAGATGTTTAATCGATTTATTTTTTTGTATTGAGACGCCTTAATTTAAGGTGTCTTTTGGTGTAATTCTTACTTCTATCTGTATTAGATTTACCCCCCCCTCCCTCCAAAAATATAAAAGTGTCCGGTTTTAAGTGTTTTCAGATTTCAATATAGCGAAAATATTCAGTCAGACAATTAGAAAAAAATTGAGCAAAGAATATCCTTTTCGATAATTTCCTCTTCTGGCTCTACAATTATATATATATTGGTTGGAGGATTTCATCATGAGCTGACATCAGTTAGAGAACCATTGGAAAACAAGTTGGGAGTACTGGACAACAATCTGTTTCGTCAATCTGGTTCGGGACTCCTCAGTAGTAGGCACCAAACAGCCGGGGTTCGAACCCAGTAGCGTACAGCAGGTTGGAGGTGAGGACAGTTACTCATCGAAGAAGACATTGTGAAGTGGTCGCGCTATGTCGTGAATTGACAGAAGTTGGAATTCATGGACTGACAACTGTATTGGGTCCCAGTGGCTGATGAATGGTCTACAAGCTCGCCTTGTAAGAAGGAGGTCCTGGGTTCGAACCTCAGTTGTTGGGTGCGTACTGATGAAGAGTCCCAAACTAGGCTGACGAAACAACTGTCCAGTACTCCGTGGTGGTTTTCCAATGGTTCTCTAACCAATGTCAGCTCATAATGAAATCATCCGACCAATCAAACGAAATCCCCACAAAACCAATACTTGAAAATTATTCATATGTCTATATGCATAGAATATTCTAGGATAGTCGTTATGATCAGTATTGGCGTGCTTTTTAAATATTATCGATTTGTTAAGTAAGATCACAATGGAATTACAGTTCATGAAAGATGCATAAATTATAATAAGCATAAAAATAGAATATCACATGAAATTAAGGAAATTTCCATAACAAATTAAGGGTAGTTAAAACCTTGATGGCCAGGGCTGTACGGACAGTCTCTGAACCAACCAACTTCTTTTGGATACATGAGTTAGGTTTCTTAATGTAGATCCCAACAGATTCAGCGATATGCAGAAGATTTCAGATTTCGAAATTCTACTGCCTAATCCATAATTAATCAGTCATTATCGGTACTAATTCCAAAAAAATCTTTTGGCTAAGATAAAGTACATCGACCACAAAGTGTGAACGCATACAATCAATTGGATTACGGAACTTGCCGTTTATTTGCGCGAAAAATTAATACATAATAATAATAGTAATAATAATACTAATAATGAAACACATGGAAGACAATATTTTACCCTGACATAACTGAAGAATAATTAATTAAAACAAAACACGTAGTTCAGCGAAGAGTCTCATTTAGGAGGCAAAAACATTCAATTAGCTAACTGTACAGTCGCAATTATATACACATATTTTTGGAAAACAGAAAGATTGAGCGAAGAAATATTTACTTTTCAATTAGATCCTCATCTCTGGCTCTACTCTAACACACATATATAGCATTTTTATTACAATACACAACAGTTTACCAATCAAGTGGCATTGATATGTTTGTTAACAATAATTAGTCAATGTCAAAATGTCAGTGGGTTGATAATTAACGAAGAAAATTAACACACACATTTAAAAAGTAGAAATGGTTAGAATAAATTAATTTTACAAGGATAACACGTTATTAAAGATGAAGTGGTCAAAATAAATAAAAATAAAATAATTTGGACAATTATAATTTTTATAGTTTTAAAGGTTTAGGGGGAGGGGGGCGACGTAGTCCTGTTTATGCATTCTTGTAACGATGGCCACGGTAAGGAAAGTGGCTGTACAAATTTCTTCTGACTACATAGGCTTGGCTTCTACAGGTGGATTCTTATTGCTTCAACTGTCTGTAGAAGACGAACTCGTGGAGTAAAATTAAGATTAGTAGGGATGCGAGAAATAATTTTAAATGCAGTATTGACGTCAACCTTATGCTCACTATCTACAAGGTGTGCTACAATAGAGCTCTGAATAGATCTTGTTTGTCCTTTGCTTAACCATGCTGGATGATGTTCGGAAATACGACGATGAAACTGCCTAATTGTACGCCCAATGTAGGTGGCTCCGCAGCTGCAGTCAAACTGGTAGACACACATAGAAGAGGCAAAATTAGGTAGTTTATCTTCATTTCTCGAACATAGAATAGGGGTGGTTTTGAAGAGACAACGTACTTCTGCTGCATAATAAGTTCTTTTAACTGCATTCTTCAAGCGCTGTGTTATGATTTCGCTGATGTTGTCACCGAGGAACTGCAATTTTATGAACATTGGTTTTTTCGAAACTGTAGCCATACTGACTCTGCTTGGTGCTGTATATGTGTGTATATAATGTTTGTCCGATAAGAATAAAAAATAAGTTAGGATTATTGTTGTTAAGACATTTCAAAATTGTGATAAATAATCAAATTGTAACTAGGGGGTGGGAGTGGAGAAGTTGAATAAGCGTGATGCAGTTACGTAATAAGATGAATAGTTTAATAAATTGGTTGTAATTAGGATGCACAAAGAAACAAAGGAAAATATGGAATTATGTAAGAGTTCTAAAAATTACAAATGTTATAAGGAGTTAGAAAAAAAACAAGCACACAAACATCAAGTCAGTAGGAGTCAACATGGCTTTTATCGTGATAATAAGAGTGGTTAGATGATTTTGTTTTGTATGCATAACCCTGGTTTATCCAAGTGAATAGCTAAGGCTTCAGCAATACAGCCAGGAGAAGAAAGTGTGTTGCCTTTGGTAGGTTATTCTTCACTTTGTAGATCACTTTGAAGCAGGAGGCGTTTGTTGAGATGGAATGACCAGTGTTGACGAGATGTTTGCGTATCACACTCTGTATACAACCAATATTACCTTTATGAATTCATGCGGGGCAGTGTTCTGGAGCTCTTTTCGACAGGATACGCATCGAACAACCAATGAAACTGGCACCGCAGCAACAGGGGAATTGAAATATGCACATAGAAGTGACTAAATGGGGGAACATGTCCTTAAGGCTTCTGCAGATCAATGGATGACTGGAGAACACTACTCTTAGCGTTGCTGCGAAGAATGTTCTTTTCAAAGATGCTGAATTTATTCTCTTCAGGATATCACAAGCTAGATCTCCCTTGAAATCCGGATTCATGTAAAGTACGTTTTTTGAAGCAAGCGATGTTTCGTTCCTGTGGACCTTTGGTTTGTTATTCCTGTCAGCGAATCTTGGTGGATATCCAATTTGGAAGAATGTTTCTTTCAGAACATTCAGTTTTCGCTTCCATGACGTCAGGACTGCAGACAATACGCTTTCATCTCCTTTGTATTGCTGAAGTCTTAGATATTCAGTTGGAAAAGCCAGAGTTATTTATACAAAAGAAAACCCCATTATGGGTAAAATTTATTTTGATAAAGTTTCACAGTTTTATATAGTAATATTGTGGTGAGAGATGGCTGCTAGCTAAATTGGTAGACAGTAATTTACGTCAATGTTTACGCCCCCAATATTGGTCTTGAGAAAAATAAGAACGAAGACTGATTCAACAACCAACCACAGCAGACTTTTTTTGATTATAGCTTGAAACCACACAGTATTTTGGTACAAGTGTGGAATTTTCAGCATGTGATATCGGTAGCCCAAATTTTGCAGGCCGACCATAGATATCAGGTGTGCGTCGGCAGTGCGTAGGCGGATACAGTTAGCACATAGATGATCTGACATTCAAGAAACAGCTGCAAAGAGATGAAAGGTTAACTTTCAGTGAGAAACAACCAATCAGAAGACTTTGTTTTTCTGCTTACAATAATCTATAATAATGTACATGAAAATCTATAAATATGTGTTGATTTCCTTAACAAACGATCTGTTGCCTGACTCTTGCCTTCTGTTGTTACAATATTTACTGATAACGTTTTTTGAGCACAATTTATTGCTCATAATTATATCACCTCGGGAGGGTAACTTGGAGGAGATTGCGTGGCGAGGAGGAGGAGATGAGAGATTATGGGAAATCTTGGAGCCAGCCAGCTGAAGAGGATGGCAGAAAATACAACAAAGTGGAGATGTGTTGTTGAAGCCTTTATATTCCACTAGGAACCCAAGGGAATAATAATAATGCCATGTTGTCCCATGGTTCTCTGACTGAAGTCAACTGCTGATCAAACCGGTCACTAATCAAATCCCTGCAAACCAACACTTAATTATTATTTTCTATAGTTCGGTTTGTAAGGGTTAGTTATGTTTTTACGAGTTGATCACGGATTGATATCAGTTAGAGAACCACTGAAAACCAGGGAGAATTGGACTGCTGTTTCATCCTAGTTTGGAAATCATCGGCAGTACGCCCCCACTGGGACTCGAGCCCAGGACCTTTCGGCTATTACTGCTAGTTTGTTTGTTTAACATACGCTTACTTTATAGTTTAACTTTCAAATCAATATTTCAGTTTTTGTGAATATGCTGTTGTTTCATGTATATATATATATATATATATATATATATATATATGTATATGTATATATATATATATATATATTTCATTAATTAATTTGTATGACCCACTCAGGGTTTCGCTGTGCACTTTTAGTCTGTCGCTTGTTTAACTCACTAGTTAACGAAAAGGACAATGACTTTAATAACATTTAAACGAGAATATGTACTTTTTATCGAAATTCATAGATTTTTAAAAAACTTCATTTTCACTATGGAAAATTTTCTTCGCTGTTTGTGCCTTTTTCTTATGACTCAATATGGGAATATTTCATTCACTATGGAATATTGCTTCTTTTATTGAAAAAAATACACCATGAAGTGTATACAGTTTCTAACTTAGTTTGTTTCCCACATTATGGCATCAATTGAAT